CATACATACATACATAGACATACATGCATGCCTACAGACAGACATACACATACATACATACATACAGGCAGACATACATACAGACATACATACACAGACAGGCAGACATACATACATACATGCATACAGACAGACAAAGACATACATGCATACAGACACACAGACATACATACACACAGGGCCGGCCTTAGGCAATTAGGCGCCCTGTGCAAAAAGTCTTCACGGCGCCCTCCCCACCTCCCACCAAGTTGCCTGAATACAGTAACACACACAGGCACCGGGGACGTGTGTATCACGAGGCAAACAAGGCATCTGCCTTGGGCGCCACTTTGCAGGGGGCGGCAAAAAAAAGTATCCCTCCAAACCCCCAGGCAGATCCCTTGCTTGCCTCGCATCCTGGGGGGCTCAAGAGCTGACCGGCTGGCCACTTTTGAGCCCCCCCAAGGCTGGCAGCTGGCAGCGGGCAGCGAAGGAGCATACTCACCTGAGCTCTTCCTGCTCAGCTTCCTCTGCGCCGCTTAATGAAGCCTGGAGCCAGAATATGACGTCAGTCCGGCTCCCGGCATCACTAAGCGCTGCTTACTCAGCCTGTGCGCCCCCTGCCTGCCTGCCCAGCAGCCACACTGGACTGCTGGTAAGAAATCCACTCCAGCTTTCCCAGGAGGCTGGGTGGATTTAAAATAAATGTAAAAAATATTAGTTTGTGAGTGTTAGTGGAAATGTCTGTGTGTGTGTCTGTGAGTGTTTATTTTGAAGTGAATGTGTGTGTGTGTGTGTGTGTGTGTCTGTAAGTGTGTAATTGTGTGTGTCTGTAAGTGAATGTGTGTGTGTCTGTAAGTGAATGTGTGTGTGTCTGTGAGTGAATGTGTGTGTTGGTCAGTGAGTGTATATGTGTCAGTCAGTGAGTGTGTATGTGTCGTCAGTGAGTGTGTATGTGTCAGTCAGTGAGTGTGTATGTGTCGTCAGTGAGTGTGCGTCTGTCAGTGAGTGAGCGTCTGTCAGTCAAAGTGCGGCCTTGACAGGAAGGGGTGGGGGAAATTTAAACTCGGTTACAGGCATGTACACACACACTCAGTTAAAGGCAGTCACACATACATGCAACAGGCACAAACAATGGCACAGCTACAGCGACACACACAGACAGACAGTCACATAGGCAGTCACACACACAGACAGACACACAGTAACACACACATAGACAGTTATACACACACAGGCAGGCAGTCACACAGATAGAAAGTCACACACACAGGCGGGCAGTCACACACAGACAGATAGTTACAGACAGACACACACAGGCAGGCAGGCAGTCACATACAGGCAGTCACACACACAGGCAGTCACACACAGACAGACAGTCACACACACAGACAGTCACACAGACAGATAGTCTCACACACACAGGCAGTCACACACACGGGCAGTCACACAGACAGACAGTCACA